CAAACGGAGCCACAACCGGCCAAAGGAGGATTTACATGCCAAACATGAGAGATGAGGGAAATCCAACCACAATTCAATCCAGGAGGGATAGAAAAACAGTTCGGTCGAAGCAGAACTCAATTGGCCCGAGTAAATAAGGAGATATCAACATCACAACCACTCTCTCGGCCAGAATCGACGAACCAAGCGACAATGCTCGACCATCTCCCAAACGGCACGACCGAAGTCCACCAAACTTCACAGGCGACCTCAAAACATCATTTTGGTCGGCAAATCCAAAAGATAGGACGAGCAAAAGTGCCTGACGTGAGATAGACGAAGAAGCTCAATACGGCCGACGGCGATGCATAGAATGGCCGACGAACTCAAAACCTCAAGAAGGCGCGAACACCGGTGGAAACTGATCCTCTGGAGTCCAAAAAACACCAAGGAAGAAGAAAGGAAGGAGACGATCGAACAGATTAAGAGATGGCCAAAGGAATCACTTCCGAAGCCATTGGCGCGCACGACGAAAGATCTCCGAATCCACACGTTCAAATCGCCTCAAACTTCACAAGGAGCCACAAAATAAGGTTGGTCGATGAAACTTCATTTCAGTACAATGAATTCCTTACAATTCAAGAGATGGCCGATGGAGTGAAATTTGGCCGATCGCGAGCAAGTAAAATGGCCGACAATCCAAATCACGGCATTTACCGCGGCCACCGGCTCAAATCACCTCCATCAAGCCTCCACATCGCATCTAAAGAAGAAAATCCAGATTGGAACGAGCAGAATTGGAGAAGACCGACGGAAGACGTTCCCGGAGCCAATTTGAAAATTTTTTCAAAGGAGATCTCAAACCACTCGTTCAAACGACCCCAAACTTCACCAGTCGCCATATTATACAATATTGGTCGACGAAATTTCAAGATAGGTCGAGGAAATCTTCACGGTTCGAGCTGTAGTCCATACCATCACCATCCGGTCGACCAAAACGGACCAGTCTCGGCCAAAAAGGCGAAAAACAGAAAACCAAGGGAGAATTGTCACATTCATCCAACCAAATCCAACAGCTATGATGTTTGCACCAGTCAGTTCATGGAAGCAACCTCATGCACAACCGATCTTCACATCAAAGGCCAACAAATTTGGGTACAATTTTCTACAAACTCTAACTTTTCCATTCATTTATCATTACCTCTCTTAATTGGATTTTTCTTACACCGAGACGGTGCAAGTTAAGTCTGGGGGGATTACTAACAAGTTTGTTCTTTTTGAATTTCATTGAGTCGTTTTATTGAGTCAAAATTTTGTCAAAGGATTATGACCTTATCTTGGATCTAACCATTGTTGTGCTAACGTTTAAGTGACCATTGAAGCAGTCTTGGCAATACATCTTACCACAGGGACACTATGAGTTGATCGATCTACCAAAAACGCCCACACCTCCAAGGACTTGAGAAGGATCCACTCTTGACTCCGCCCTTAATGAACTTAATCTTCTCAGCTAGGGGCTTGGCATACAAATGGCATGATTCCTCATCCTCTCCATCAAATGAAAAAGTCTTAGTGAGTTCGTGCTTCCCTCTCTCTCCCCTTCAAAATTTAAAGAAAAAGCGTAAGGTCCAAGTAACCGGGGATTCGGTGGCAAACATATACCTCTAATTTACCTACTTTTTATACTGTTTTAGCATTGTTTTCTAATGGTTTTTGGCAGGTTTTCTATCTAAAAAGGTAGTTTTACTGTGTTTATAGTGTCTAGAGTCTAAACAGGTGAAATGATGCATTTTGGAGCAAAACCATAGGATTTGCACTTCAAGCCGCTCCATGCACAAGCACCAACTTTAAGAGGGCCCAGAAAAAGATCTACTCAATGGATTTCATCAAGACCAGTTCCCTGCGTGCTCTGATTGAGTTAACTTTCCAACGCAACTGGAACGGCCTATTTGGATGAGTAGAAAAGGAGTTACAACCAAAAGAGTGAAGACTGTCCAGACGGCTCTATCGAGAATCAGCGCCCAACCGCGCAGTCCGGCTGGCCGAGGAACGATGTTCCGCGCTCGGCCAAAACTGTCCGTCCGTCTGAAGTCTCGGCCAAAGTCAAACCATCGGCCGATCACGCATCACGACCCGGGAAATAAGCCCGCGGTCGGCCAAGCCACAACCTCACGCCACGCCGCGCACGACCATGCGCGCGAGCCGGGAAAACCTCGCGGCCGCGCAACCCTCACGTACCACGGCCGATGCTCCGTCCGAGCCGGGGAACTACGCCCGCGTCCGGCCGAGAGATTTCATCGGCCAAACTCATCCGTCCGACCACCCGGCCGACCGAATCCGGCCACGACCGTTCCGACTCGGCCACGACCCGATGTCCGGCCGATCGTCCCGACCGACCGTCCCAACGCCGCGGTCGACCCGAAGCCCGTTTTGAAGCCCATTTCATATTTTCAAGGCCCGGCTTAACCCTAAGCCGCCTCAAAAGACCTAGCACTATATATATAGCTTTTTAGCCTCTTGTGAAAGAGAGCCGCCCTTGTATTACGAATTTCATACTTTGAGTTTTATTGCAATCATGTTTTCTTCATCTCTTTGTGTTTTGCTTTGATTATGTCTGAGTAATTCACTAGTTAGGTTGTGAGATCTATCAAAGAGTTCATGGTTTGATAGGTTGTTAGAAGTCACATAGGGTTTATCATATCGCATCTTCGCCTCTGCTTGAATTCATTGCTGCTTGCTTTTCTGATCAACTAGCATCAGATCTTAGGTTTCATATACTCTCCAAAAGCTTGCTATATAACCTGAACTAAGTATTTGGTGAGCAAAACTTCATAGACTGCGAAAGTTGATCTATGCGGGGTTGTGAACAATTGGGTCTTGAACGAACTATTGCTTGATTTAATCACCTAGGGACATACCAAAAGTTTAGCGACTAGGTAGATTAACAAAGGGGTCGGAGCCTCGACAGTGGAAAGATCATACAATCGTGACCTGAGTTCTAGATAGCGCAAACCCTAGCGAACCTTCTAATATCTTGTTAACCTTGAATCTCTGCGAGTTTCTCATTGCCTAGCGTTTCCCTTTATTGATTTTCATAAACCGTTTAATCTGCTGTTTGATTTACCTTGTTACACAATCAAAACCCTAAATCATACTTGTTTTCTAGCTATATTAGACTTGCAATACTCGAAGTGTACTTATCTGCTCCTTGTGTTCGATACCCGTTTACTACTTCTGACCTGTGCACTTGCAGAATCAGGGATAGGAAAAGGGAAGACCTGATCCCGCGATCAAGTTTTTGGCGCCGTTGCCGGGGAGCAATACAGCTACCTTCGAGTTCCCAACTATAGTCTAGCTAGAATTTCGTTTTTCCTTTTTGTTTTTGCAAACTTTCAACTTTTGTTTTTCCTTTTTACTGTTTTCTATTTAAAGAATCTTGCCTCTATCCCTTTCAGGTACTAAGCTTGAAAGAAGGACTCTAACATGAGTGATTCAGACGATCAAGAGGAGAGAGATAACTTGGCCGCGAGAGAGATCGCGCTGGCCGAGCAGCACGAAGATCCCCGGATCCGAACCGCGCACATCGCGCCAATGATGGAGCGCGACACAATGAAGAAGTCATGGGAGACTTCGATTCCAATCCAACACTACTAATCGATCGGAATCCCATCCAGCCGCCACTTCCTGAAGGAAGAAGCTATGAGATTTCGCCGGAGATCATTGGTTTGGTGAAACAAAACCAGTTCCAAGGAAAACCCCAGGAGAATCCTTTGGAACATATTGATGCTTTGAAGAAATCTGTGGCACCATCAGTGCAGGAGGTGCGCCCAAGGAGTACTTAAAGTGCAAACTATTCTCTTTCACTTTGACAGGGAAGGCTTTGCGCTGGGTTAAGTCTCTTCCAGCTCAATCCATAACCACATGGAAAGAGTACAAGGTGGCATTCCTAGGTCACTTTTTCACAAAGCAAAGAGCAAACTTGTTGAGAGAAAAGATCTCTAGTTTCCAACAAGGGCCGGTGGAGCCTTTTCATGAAGCATTGGAGCGCTTCAAAGACTATACAAGAGAGTGTCCTAACCATGGACTATCTGAGGGCAGTCTATGGAACATTTTCTACAGAGGAATAAGTGGGAAGTGTCGATTTTCTCTTGATACAGCCAGCAATGGAAATTTCATGACCAAGACAGTTACTGAAGCAAAGATTTTGATTGAAAATCTAGCCTCAAGCGACAGTGACAACTTCATTGGGCATGAGAGAGCAGTGAAGGCCATAAATTCTGATCCATACAGAGATGGATACAGCGAAATCAAAGCCATGATGGCTGAGATACTGAGAAACCAAGGAAGAGAAGTGGAGAGACAAAGAGAAGCTTATAGAGTTGAATCCACAATAATTCAAGATTACTTTGGAGATTTGATTCCAAGTTTCCAAGAAGAAGTAAACTTTGTTGGAATAGATGGATCAGCACATAGAGAAGAAGCTTGGAAAGGGAGCATGATGTTTTTACTCAAGAATCACCCAATGAGAAGAGGGATGTTCATGGAGGAAGAAATTATCAGCAACCACCTCACAAGAGAAGAATGGAGCCAAGGAGCAATTTTGAAGATTTGATAACTTTCATCAAGAGTTCTCATAGAGAGCACACAGCCTTGATTGATGAGAGATTGGAGTCAGCCTTCACAGATTGAATGAGAAGTTGGATTCTATTTCCTCTTTCACAAGAGACTTGGATCTTAGAGTTGCCAACATAGCCAGCTCTATTAAGAGAGAAGAAGGTATGCTACCAGGAAAAGTGGAAATCAATCCAAGGAGAGCAGCTGTAGCAGCTATCACTCTTAGGAATGGAAAAGGGTATGAGCCACCAGCATACCCAGATCAAGAGGAAGCAAAGCCGCCAATCAAGAAGAAACCAATGGAGTATGTTATCATTGGAGATGGACTGAACCACCTAAGGAAGTCCATGTCAGAATAGAACCAGGAACTCAGGAGGAAGTGGAGAAGCCACCTGAAGAACCAAGAGTGTATGAGCCAAAGATCCCATACAGAAATGTTCTTTCTCAACCCAAGAAGGAGAAGGAGCAAGCAAAGCTCAAGGATCTTGTTAGCCAACTTTCAGTAAGGTTACCTTTCATTGATGCTGCCAAATAATTCCATCTCTCAGGAAGTATATGAAGGCCATACTCACAAGCAATGTGAGTCTTGAAGAAGGAGCAATGATGATTACAAAGGAGTGTAGTGCCATACTTCAGAATCGCATGCCAGAGAAGCTGAACGACCCAGGGAGTTTTGTTTTGTCTTGCAAGATCGGTTCTACACACTTCCATAGAGCACTTTGTGATTTGGGTTCAAGTGTGAACCTAATGCCTTACTCAGTGGCCAAGCTATTGGGCATCACTGACTTCAAACCTACAAAGATATCTCTAGTCTTTGCAGACAGATCTGTTCGCCGCCCTGTTGGTGTTATTATGGATGTTCCAATCATGGTTGGAGATTGCTACATCCCTGCTGATTTTGTAGTTCTTGAGCTGGAACACCAACCTAAAGACCCTCTTATCTTGGGAAGGCCATTCCTAGCTACTGCAGGAGCTATAATAGATGTCAAGAATGGAAAGATTGACTTGCATCTTGGAGATATAGTGATGAATTTCGAAGTAAACAAGTCTATGGAGAAGCCAACTGTAGATGGTCAAGCTTTTTGGATTGGAGAGCTCGCAGAGACAAGAGAAGAAGTGCTGGATGAACTCCTTCTTATTGATCCCTTGGAGCTAGCTTTGACAAAGGCTGAGAATGAGTATGGATACATGGAAAGAGAAGCTCAATGCTTAGTCAAGTTCATGGATTCAAAGGAAGCTTATAAAGAGCTGATAGCTTATATGGACTTAGAGAGAGAAGAGGAAGAGCCAGACATTGACAAGAATCAGGAAATATCACAAACCAAGTTAAGTTCGACCCATGGTGCCCACTTAGAGCTCCCAAAAGCCGAGCTCAAACAACTCCCAGTTGGTCTAAGGTATGAATATCTTGGTCCTAATGAAACATATCCTGTTATTGTTAATGCTGCACTAACAAAAGAAGAGACCGCTTTACTTGTTCGCGAACTGAGAAAGCATAGAAAGGCTCTTGGTTACTCTTTGGATGATTTAACAGGAATCTCACCTGAACTATGCACACATCGCATCATCCTGGAGGATGAGTCTAGTTCTTCAATTGAACACCAAAGGAGGCTAAACCCAACCTAAAGGAAGTTGTCAAGAAGGAGATAATGAAGCTACTGAAGGCTGGAGTGATTTATCCAATATCAGATAGTGCATGGGTCAGCCCTGTACATGTCGTGCCAAAGAAAGGAGGGATCACAGTCATCAAGAATGAACATGATGAGCTCATTCCAACAAGAACAATCACTGGACACAGAATGTGTGTCGACTACAGGAAACTGAACTCCTCCACACGCAAGGACCACTACCCCTTGCCATTCATAGATCAGATGCTTGAGCGCCTTGCCAATCATCAATACTACTGTTTCTTGGATGGATACTCAGGATTTTTCCAAATTCCAATCCACCCAGATGATCAGGAGAAGACTACATTCACTTGTCCCTATGGCACATATGCTTATAGGAGAATGCCTTTTGGATTGTGCAATGCTCCAGCTACATTCCAAAGGTGTATGATGTCCATATTCACAGATCTCATAGAAGAGATTATGGAGGTTTTCATGGATGATTTCTCAGTATATGGTTCTTCCTTTGAATCATGTTTGGGAAATCTTGGAAGAGTGCTACAGAGATGTGAAGACAAGCACCTAGTTCTAAATTGGGAGAAGTGCCATTTATGGTTAGAGATGGAATAGTGCTTGGACATAGAATCTCAGAGAGAGGCATAGAAGTTGATAAGGCCAAGATTGAAGTAATGACAAACCTTCAGCCGCCCAAGACAGTCAAAGATATCAGAAGCTTCCTAGGACATGCTGGGTTCTACAGGAGGTTCATTAAAGATTTCTCACAGATAGCAAGGCCGCTAACACGCCTATTATGCAAGGATATTAACTTTGAGTTCACAGAGGAGTGTCACAAGGCTTTCACTAAGATCAAAGATGCATTGGTCAGTGCGCCAGTGGTTCAACCTCCAAACTGGGAACTACCTTTTGAGATAATGTGTGATGCAAGTGATTATGCAGTAGGAGCAGTGCTTGGACAAAGAAAAGACAAGAAGCTACATGTGATCTACTATGCCAGCAGAACACTTGATGAGGCACAATGCAAGTATGCCACAACAGAAAAGGAGCTTCTTGCTATTGTCTTTGCATTTGAGAAATTTCGATCATACTTGGTGGGATCAAAGTTATAGTTCACTCTGATCATGCAGCATTAAGGTATCTTTTATCTAAGAAAGATGCCAAGCCAAGATTGTTGAGATGGATACTACTATTGCAAGAATTTGATCTTGAGATCAAGGATAGAAGAGGAGCAGATAATGGAGTAGCTGATCACTTTCAAGGATGAGAGTTGAAGAAAATCTACCCCTTGATGATAGGCTACCTGAAGAAACAGTTTATGCAGCTGAAGCTAGCAATAAGCATGGACAACTAGGCCATCACAGGCCAGGAACAAAGATCTCATCATCAAACACACCATGGTTTCGCCACATAGCAAACTTCCTTGCAGCTGAATACCCACCACCAAACTTCTTTGGCTACAGAAAGAAGAAGTTTCTGCGTGATGTAAGAAGGTACTACTGGGATGAACCTTACTTATACAAGAAATGTTCAGATGGAATGTTTAGAAGATGCATACCAGAGGAAGAGGTAGAAGGAATATTGTTTGCTTGTCATAGTTCTAGCTATGCAGGGCACTTTGCCACTTACAAGACAGTATCCAAGGTCCTACAAGCTGGATTTTGGTGGCCAACTATGTTTAAGGATGCTCATGCATTCATATCAAGATGTGATGCTTGCCAAAGAATGGGAAATATAAGCAAGAGGAATGAGATGCCACAGAACTTTATACTAGAAGTTGAAGTTTTTGATGTTTGGGGCATTGACTTTATGGGACCCTTCCCAACCTCTTTTGGTGACCAATACATTCTAGTGGCAGTTGATTATGTCTCCAAATGGGTGGAAGCCATCGCCAGCCCTACTAATGACGCACAAGTGGTCATCAAGATGTTTAAATCCATCATTTTTCCAAGGTTTGGAGTGCCTAGGATAGTCATAAGTGATGGAGGTTCACATTTCATCAACAGAATCTTTGCCAACCTTTTGAAGAAGCATGGAGTCACTCACAAAGTTGCCTCTCCTTACCACCCCCAAACTAGTGGACAAGTTGAGATCTCAAACAGAGAACTCAAGAGCATACTTCAGAAGACAACAGGCAAGACAAGAAAGGATTGGAGTGCCAAACTAGATGATGCTCTATGGGCATACCGCACTGCCTTCAAAACACCACTTGGTACCACCCCCTTTCATCTTGTTTATGGTAAAGCATGTCATTTACCTGTGGAGCTGAGTACAAAGCAGCTTGGGCTATTAAGGAGTTGAACTTCAACCTAAAGACAGCAGGAGAAAGAAGATTGATTCAGCTGAATGAGCTTGATGAGATTAGGCATCTGGCTTATGAGAATTCAAAGATCTATAAGGAGAGAACCAAAGCTTTCCATGACCGCAAGATCATCCCAAAGAACTTTGCGCCAAACGACCAAGTTCTACTATTCAACTCAAGGTTGAAACTCTTTCCAGGAAAGCTTCGCTCAAGATGGTCAGGACCATTCAGGATTAAAGAAGTTCGCCCCTATGGAGCAGTGGTACTATGGGACCCAATGGGAGGAGACTTTACAGTCAATGGACAAAGGTTAAAACCCTACCTAGCCTCCACCACCATACCACAGGAGACCACACTGCTCTTGGCGATCCACCAGATCCTTAAGGAAGTGCCATACAGTCAAGCTAATGACTTTAAACAAAGCGCTGAATGGGAGGCAACCCATTGAAGGTCATTTCTTTTCATTTTCTTTCTTTATTTTTCTTTTATTTTGAATATTACCTCTCACCTTAATGTGATTTGCTTTCACCGGGACGGTGCAAGTTAAGTCTGGGGGGAGTTTTATTGTGTTACTAATGCATTTTTCTTTCTTTTCTTATGTTTTATTCATTTGTTTCATGTTTTTCAAAAAGTTTTATTGAGTCAAAAACCAGTCCGGAAGTTATGAACTTGCTTTGAGAATTGAGAGTGTTTGCTAACAATCCATGACCCTAGAGCAGAAACCAGCTAAAGGCACAAGCCTAACAGAAGCTCTTACAGTGGATCGACATGCTAGCTCAGCAAAATTTCTAAGGTAACCAAGCAATCTAGAGTTAACCTCACCCTTAATCAATCTTAATTACTCTTGTCAAGGGGGTTGGCATACATGTCGACAGTTCCTTGCTTGATTTTCAATAAGATTTGTCTAATCTTTAAAGAGTTCTCCTCTCTCTCCCATCCCAAATGGTAAGTAATGTTTATGAGAAAAAGCTCAAAGAGCACAAGGAAAACAAGTAAGCATGAGGAATGCATATGTCTGTACCTTCATGTCTTATGGAATACCTTAGTCAAACAAGGAACAAGCTAAAGACTTATCCTGTGGTTGAAAGAAGGGTCAATAGAAAAAATAAAATGATACCCTAGAAAAGTAGGGATAAATTGACCTTTCAAAGTTCTGATGTGAGAAAGAGAGAGGAAAAGAACTCATTGCACTTAAAGACAATCTTGGAGAGGATCAAGTGGGTAAGAACAAGTTCAATTGATCGATGTCCCCTTGATAAAGAATTCACGCTTTAAATTTATGCAAGAGGTTAGCAATAGAGAGTTTGGATTGCTGGATGAGACTAGTTGGGTTGGTATTGTTCGCTAAACTTGCAGGGTGTATGTGAAGCTAACCTTATGTTGTCTATGTTCATAGTGGAATACAGGAAAGGAACCTTTCACAGGATATTCAAAAGAGCAAGGGAGTTCCACGTTTTCAAACCTCTTTCACGGATTTAGATTCTTTTTGCTTGAGGACAAGCAAAGATCTAAGTCTGGGGGAGTTGATATACCTCTAATTTACCACTTTTTATACTGTTTTAGCATTGTTTTCTAATGGTTTTTGGCAGGTTTTCTATCTAAAAAGGTAGTTTTACTGTGTTTATAGTGTCTAGAGTCTAAACAGGTGAAATGATGCATTTTGGAGCAAAACCATAGGATTTGCACTTCAAGCCGCTCCATGCACAAGCACCAACTTTAAGAGGGCCCAGAAAAAGATCTACTCAATGGATTTCATCAAGACCAGTTCCCTGCGTGCTCTGATTGAGTTAACTTTCCAACGCAACTGGAACGGCCTAATTTGGATGAGTAGAAAAGGAGTTATAACCAAAAGAGTGAAGACTGTCCAGACGGCTCTATCGAGAATCAGCGCCCAACCGCGCAGTCCGGCTGGCCGAGGAACGATGTTCCGCGCTCGGCCAAAACTGTATCCGTCCGTCTGAAGTCTCGGCCAAAGTCCAAACCGTCGGCCGATCACGCATCACGACCCGGGAAACTAAGCCCGCGGTCGGCCAAGCCACAACCGCCACGCCACGCCGCGCACGACCAGCGCGCGAGCCGGGAAAAAGCCTCGCGGCCGCGCAACTCGTCTCACGTACGCGCACGAACGCTCCGTCCGAGCCGGGAACTACGCCCGCGTCCGGCCGAGAATTTCATCGGCCAAACTCATCCGTCCGACCACGCCGGCCGACCATGAATCCGTCCGGCCACGACCGTTCCGACTCGGCCACGACCCGACTGTCCGGCCGATCGTCCCGACCGACCGTCCCAACGCCGCGGTCGACCCGAAGCCCGTTTTGAAGCCCGATTTCATATTTTCAAGCCCGGCTTAACCCTAAGCCGCCTCTAAAGACCTAGCACTATATATATAGCTTTTTAGCCTCTTGTGAAAGAGAGCCGCCTTGTATTTCACGATTTCATACTTTGAGTTTTATTGCAATCATGTTTTCTTCATCTCTTTGTGTTTTGCTTTGATTATGTCTGAGTAATTCACTAGTTAGGTTGTGAGATCTATCAAAGAGTTCATGGTTTGATAGGTTGTTAGAAGTCACATAGGGTTTATCATATCGCATCTTCGCCTCTGCTTGAATTCATTGCTGCTTGCTTTTCTGATCAACTAGCATCAGATCTTAGGTTTCATATACTCTCCAAAAGCTTGCTATATAACCTGAACTAAGTATTTGGTGAGCAAAACTTCATAGACTGCGAAAGTTGATCTATGCGGGGTTGTGAACAATTGGGTCTTGAACGAACTATTGCTTGATTTAATCACCTAGGGACATACCAAAAGTTTAGCGACTAGGTAGATTAACAAAGGGGTCGGAGCCTCGACAGTGGAAAGATCATACAATCGTGACCTGAGTTCTAGATAGCGCAAACCCTAGCGAACCTTCTAATATCTTGTTAACCTTGAATCTCTGCGAGTTTCTCATTGCCTAGCGTTTCCCTCTATTGATTTTCATAAACCGTTTAATCTGCTGTTTGATTTACTTTGTTACACAATCAAAACCCTAAATCATACTTGTTTTCTAGCTATATTAGACTTGCAATACTCGAAGTGTACTTATCTGCTCCTTGTGTTCGATACCCGTTTACTACTTTTGATCTGTGCACTTGCAGAATCAGGGATAGGAAAAGGGAAGACCTGATCCCGCGATCACAAACACCATCAATACTCGCGTCTATGGAAGGCTATGGATCCAAGCAACCGGGGATTCGGTGGCAAACACCATCAATACTCGCGTCTGTGGAAGGCCCAAGCAAAACCGAATGAGTTGAATAAAAAAATACCTTGCTACCCTAAAAAAGGGATGAATCAACCTGAAGAAGTGAGAAGAGAGAGAGGAGAAACATGGAGTAAAAAGACAAGTGCCAAACAAAAGGATGAGTAAGAGTCTAAAGCCGGCTGATCGATACTCCCTAGTTGAGACCACACCTTTAGAAATGAAAGGAGTCAAGGGTGCGAATTGGATTGTCTAAAGAGAGGTGGGCCGCCTTGGAAAAATCGCAAAACTCATGGTATGTACTCTTGTTCTTAATTCAAATATTTGCCTTTACTACTTTCATGTGGATTACTAAAACCAAGCCAACCCGGATTTCCTAATGATTTGAGAGTTCTTGCGTTTTCAAACCTCTCTTCCTCTCTTAGTTTGCTTGAGGACAAGCAAAAGGCTAAGTCTGGGGGAGTTGATATATCCATATCTTTCATGTTTTTATCAAGGTTTTCACTATGTTTTCAATACAAATAATGTGGTTTTTAGCCCAAGAGGTAGTTTTCTTGTATATTCTGGTTTTGAGCATCATTCAGGTCAAAATAGCAAAGAAGAGTCAAAATGGAGCAAAAGGAGTCAAATCACCAAGTTCCCAAGTCTAGAGCACCAAATCTACATTTCTCGCTAAAGACCAAACCGGAGCATCCGAAGTACGACCGCATATTCATGCCTTCCCGACGTCCAAAAGTCATGATTCTTATATGGAAAGATAGATATTTGAGTCATGACCCACGGCGAAGTGGAAAGAGGTCATTTGGATCACTCATTGGACCGGAACTTATTTTCTACCAAGACATGTCCGGAGCGCCTAAGTAGAGCCCATGGAGACTTTGATGGTATCTAAGAGGCCCGAGACCGCGCCCAAGGCCTTGGCTCGTCTTGACACTAGATCTAACTCAATCAAGGAAGCTTCCATTGGCCCGAACTCGGCCCATTCAAGAACTTGGAGAGCAAGCTCAAGCGGCTAAAGAGAAATGGAAACTTTCCTCTTCTTGGCGCGCTCAACTTTGCCGACCTAGACCCGCTCTCTACCTATATATACTTGCTTTTAGCCTCTTGTAATAAGAATCACCAGCCGAGACATAAAAGACACATTCAATAAAGTTCGGAGCCACTTAGGTGGTCTCCTTTCTTCTTTCTTTTCTTCTTTTGCATTTGTATATAGCTTGCATGTTTCAATTTATATAGTCTAGAAGTAGAGATTTCTCCCTAAGGGTGAGGTGCGGTTTGACTCATATTCTCCGCCTCTCTCTCTAAGGATTCATGAGACTTCATCTACTATCTATGACTCATTGTTGAATTATGGATCCTTTCATTGAGGACATGACATAATTGCCATCGAAAATCGATTGTTAAAAGGGGAAACCCTATGGTTCTCCATCTTTATTTATGCTTAATGCTTGTTGCTAGAGTAGCTAACTAGTGACTTGATTTTAGGTTGATATACTCTCCAAAAGCTTGTTATATCTCCGGATATAGTATTTGATGGGCAAATCGTTTTAGGCTACGAAAGTAGACCTAAAGAGTTTTGTGAACAATCATTACTTGGATGTAATGCATGTCTCACTCTACAATGACCAACGAAAGCTGAGCCCATTGGTTTAAGAGACATAGGGGATTGGAACCACGAAAGTGGAATAATCCTTCCTTAGTGTTTTGAGTTCAAAAGAATCGGATTTTAACAAACTTTTCAATCGACTTGGCTCATGTTTTCAAAAGAGTTTTCAATAGTTCAATAATGTTGCTTGTATAGAATTGCATTGTTATTTCTTTTGCGTGTTCTAAACAAACACAAACCCTTGCATCTTTTGATTTAGCTTAGATCATTTAAACTCTATGATTATGTAATGTGTGAAATCCAATCCCTTGTGGTTCGACCCCTAAATACTACAATTATATGTTGTGCACTTGCAACACTAGTTGTCTTAGGGAATTATTACTTGTACTCATCCCTAGATGTAGCCATCGAGGTTCCGGTTAGATTCCGTTTGTGATTGTCGGAGGAGACATCAATAAAAAAAAAAAATCATGGGTGTTTGTGGGAAACAAAATTTCCCGGCGATAACAATGGGTGTTCGTGTTGATCAGATCGTGATTGGATCGACGGGAGAAGACATAGGAGGTGGTAAATGATTTCATATTTCCAGCGATACAGGTTCTATATTTCCGGCGAAACAGATAACTCAGTCTTGCGGCAAGTTGTCGGAGGCGACATAAGTGTGTCGGAGTTCCGAGACAATTAAAACCTTAGTAACTTTCACACTCTGATTTATTAAGGGCGAAATAGTAATCCACAATATCAGTATATATGCCAAAAGTCTACCTCTAAACAAAAATCCATTTTTTATAAATATAACTCAAAAAGTCACCCAGTGTAAATCACTCCTGCAAACATGGAACTCGTGTAATTTCTTAAGACTCATACAATAATATACAAAATTGGACCGTCTAGTATATCTATCTTGTGACATCTTGGGTTTTTGAAAAGTGGAACATTTTAAATTTTGCTGTTGAAGCCCATTAAGAGCCCATCACTTCTTCTTTGGTGACGTCGTGTATTAATCACATGTCATGAGGTGGTGTCTTCTTCCTCTCCACAATTAACCCTAGCCGTCAACGAGAAAGAGTTGTCGTGAGGAAAAGAGAGAAGGAGAGAGAAAGAGAAAGCTCGTGAAATAAAGGAGAAGAGGAGAGAGAGAAGGGAAACCAGAAGTGAGAGAAAGGACGAAGAGTTCGTGAGAAGAAGAAGAGAGATGTGCGTGGAGGACCATGACGGAGCCGGCGCCACTCACCACCTATTTCGCTCCATCTCAGAGTGAAGTTTTGCCACCGGAGACACCCTCGCTGCCAACAGGACCCGCATCAGTCACCGTTGAGTTGCCGAGGAAGAAAGTCCATGCAAATCTTCATAGCTTGCAGCGCAAGCAAACAAGAGGTGTGCCATGATTTCCGATCTGCTCTCATCGGCCACCACCACTCTGACCTTGGTACTCCTAGTTGAGATCATGCCGCCGTTATGCCATTGCTCCGTCACCGAGACGTACTTGTCGGATCCATCATCACGGCGACGTCGTCATTGTCCCATTTTTCTCTTCGTCAATGTACGTCAACACCATGTCAAAGTCCACGTCTCTTTCCCTTTCTCAACCAACCAGCAGCGACCATTCACCTTCTCCAATCCGTAGCAGCTTGTTGATCTGATTCATTGCCTCATCAAATTCACGTTCCTTTTCCGTCCTTTAAGACCAAGGTATCTTCACCCTAGCATATTATTTTATATAATTTAAAGCTAAAGTTTGGTTTAGTTATTGTTTATTGATGGTGAACCTTAATGTTATTTTAGTATTAATATTAATATTCATATTATATAATTATTTATTTAATTAATTATATTTTATTGGATGAATTTAAATTGATTTATTCATGATGAATTATGTGTGATGTTATTTATGGAATATAAATAATTTATAAATATTATATTTTTAATTAAAAAATAATATTTCTATAAGAATATTACATCAATATTTTTTGAATAACTTATTGATTGTTGAGTGATATCTTAAATGTTGAGTGTTGAAGAACATGTAATTAATAATCGAACATTGTATTTAAATGAATATGTTTAATAAGAACATTGTTTGAATGTATGTGTGTTATAATTGAATGTATTGTGTTGAAATATATCACATCTAGATTTTCTAAAAAAAAAACAAAACCGCCAATAACAATATATTATCGATTTATTTGTTATAATTTGGTCTATCATTACTATTTTGAATTAATTTTAAACATATATATCAATGTCAAATATATTTCATTTATTTTTCTATAATTAAGCATCTAAATAAATAAGGTCCCCTAAAAAATAACCTAAACCTTGGCCAATACTCCCTTGTCGTCGAACATACAAAATCCAAAAACAAAACAAAAAACCAAATTTTTAGCTTCTACGGTTTTTCTTTAATTCTCTAACCAAATTCAATGTCTTTCTAGGGTGAGTTCACCATTTGTTACATTCAAATCCAAAACAAATATCAATAATCATTGATTGAGACAGCTTTTTATTGTTTCTCACAAAGTTTGGTGTTGTTGAGAGATTTATGTGTTTGCAGGAGTTGAAGTGAAATCAAGGAGACATTTTACTCTTAAGACTACGGAAGCAACCAGAATAAAAAGACTACACCTTTCTCAGGTTAAAATTATAGGCTAAAAATATAGATTAAAGGACAAAGGTGAAGTCTTTTTATTCAGAATGCTTCCATAGTCTTAAGAGTAAAAGGCCTCCCTGATTTCATTTCAACTCCTGCAAATACATAAATCTCTTATCAACATCAAAGTTTGTCGGAAACCATAAAATCTGTCCCATCGATGATTATTGATATTTTTTTTGGACTTAAAAGTAAAAAAATGGTGAACTCACCCCAGAAAGCCATTGAATTTGGTCAGAGAATGAAAGAAAATCCGTAGATGCTAACATTTTGGTCTTTTAATTTCTCTCCAGCTGTTAGGCGAAAAGAGAGACAATTAGCAAGTGTTTAGGTTATTTGTTTGACCCCTTATCTATTTGGACGCTTTGATTATAGAAAAACTTAATGAAAGATATTTGACATTGATATAGATGTTTAAAATTGATTTACAGTAGTAATGATATACCATAGTATAACAAATATATTGATAATATAATATTTTTGCCATTTTTTTTTCCGGGTAATATAGATGTAATATATTTCATCAAACTACAAGTCATTATCTGAATTCCGATATACTTCTTCCATTTTATATTAGCTGTCATTTTCAAAAAATGTATATGAATGTATTTATAATTATATATATAGGATCGCCACATGTGTTTTTTTTTTAATTCTAAAAGTATTAAGATTGTGACATGTGACATAAAATAAGAAAAAAAAATCATATATATAAAACCAACGTAAAAGCAAGAAACAAACAATTAAAAATAAAAAATGTTACATCCACTCTTATTCCTATCGCAAAAAGAAAAAAAAACAAAATTAGAGAAACAGGAAACAATTACTCGAAAAAGTTGTTAAGAAAAAGAGAAAAATATATATTCCCATTATGAAAAGACAAGAAAAAAATATATATGTATATATATATAATCAGGTCCGGCCCCACACATGTGCTAGCAGTGCAAAAGCGCCGGGTCCCGCATATTTTGTAACATTTTCCTTATAGTTTTAGGGTCCTGTATTCTCCAAATATTACAAAAAGGTCTTACATTTTTAATCTTTCATACATTTTCACAGGGTCCAATATTTATTTGGGCCGGACCTGTATATAATAGATGATCTTCTTCGCCTCTACCCATCTTTAAATCCAGGGCAAACGAAACGAAACAAAGATGATTGAAGGCGAAATGTTAGAAAGTAAATTACATTGAATTTTGTAACTGAATAGAGGAAAGGGCACTATGAATTTGCAGGGAAGAAGACGAACAGATTAACGCATGAATTTTATGGCAATACGGAAGGAAGGGAAGATTATTTTTTAACATGTTTTTGTAGAATTCCACATGGCATTGTGTGAAAAAAGCTTAAAGTGCTCCTGAGAGGTCTTAAACAGCAGCTTCTTTTAAGTTATTAGAGATTTATAAGAACTGAAACAACCAAATTTTTTAGATTAATTACATAATAACTAAACTCAATATTCAGCAATACGAAAGTCAATAAATCCATAAATAATAAAGTATTTCAATTTAACAAAATAATTAAAATCAATAGATGTTAGCTACCTAAACACGAGATTCAACCAACAACTTAAATAAAACAGTTAAATCCTGTTTTCCTCTTCTTTGTCCTTGATTTCATGATCACATAATTCTTTAATTTGCATCACATAGTGAAAAGATATGCGTAACAAATACATAGTGAGATGGTCCTCGCGTCTACAGGCCAATTACACAATTTACCAGACAACATCAATTAACAATTAAACACAAACAAAAAATCCGCAAGACATTGCTTGGTGTCGAGCCATACCCAAAGGGTGTCGGGCGACATTCGACCCTTGGTGTCGCTTGACACCGACTAGCAGAGAACATACCAAAATCGAAGAATCAACACATAAACATGAAATCAATGGGTTTCAACACCTATAAACAAAAATACTCAATTTTGACATGAACACAACAAGAACACGAGCCTACGATCACACACTCATCTAAAAAATGGATTGAAAAGGAAAAAGTGAGAGAGACAATGAAGGACAACAACGAACGGACTCCGATTCAACCACAAGAACTCGGATTTCTCCTCAAAATCGCCTCTTCGTCTTCTCCGTCGTTTTCTGCTCGAAAATTGAGACAAAAATATGGCTGGCTTCCCTTTAAAATCGAAACTTGGGGCTTTCTGCCCAAAACCGGACAACTTAAATTGAACCAAAAATAAATTCCAATAACCGGTGTTGACTGACATCCTCCTTGGTGTCACTCGACACTAACTTTAAAAGTCAACAGAAAAGTGTACGGATGTTACAACAACTAACTATGTTTTTTGTTAGTGAATTATATTTTTTTCTATTTTGTTATTTCTTGGTAATACCTTTATTTAGTTCACTAATCTTTTTATACTATTGGTTGTTTAAGTTTGGAAAATTACGTAATCTTAAAGATGTATATGTGTACCAATAAAATCTTGAAATCTTATGTAAATGTTTTCAATGGTTTATTACCTTAACTTTTATATAATATAGATTTAAAAGCAAATAAAAGTTAATGGCCTAACTCCATTTTAATTTTATTGATTCTCTCAAAAGAATATTTTTTCTTTTGTTATTTATGCAATATGTACTATAGAGTATTGGTCAATTTTGTCAATTTGGTTAATTTTATAATACGGACTCAAGTCAATTTGGTCAATTTCTTGGTAAGTCAACTCATCCTTGTGAGTAGATTATTTTAAACAATAGTTGAAGGACAAGTTGTTTAAAATATAAAGCTGGTATTATAACAACTAACTATTTTTTTGTTAGTTTACTGATTTTCATTCCAAGTAGTTCATGGATCCAACGGAAAGTACAAGTCAACTCTCAAGAAGGTTGATTGATAAATGAACAGAATAAACAACTTGTTGAAGCGTTCAACGTAAGAAATTTCATATAAAATTCGATCAAGATTATTATATATTTGATACACAACTAGTCAACTCCTGCAAGTTTTATTTGTTGACAAAAGCAAGCCACGACCTTCAAATTGGGACCTAAGAACTAAATAGTTAGATTTTTTTTGCTGAAAATAATGATTTCAGGATCATGAAATCTCACTAAGGTCTAAGCTCTTCTACTAATTCTAAAAGCATAACACTATAATAGTAAAACAATGCAAACAAATAGTTTGGAATAATCTTTCATTCTAAAAGTTAACCTCATACTGTTAATAAATCTAAACAGAGAGGCTGGATTGTAATTAATAAAAGTGATAAATCTCCCCTTCTTTACTAACAGGCAACAGACCCCATGTGTAGACTCTTAAACTCAGCTTAGTCAAATTGTATTTCACAAGACACTTCACATCTTTCACATATTTCTGTATAATACATATCCAACATCGGTTCTATAAATATATTCGTATCAAACAAGGGTTTTAGTTAGTTTCTTTCGTCCACTAGTACTATATATAATAGTGTTTTCAAGTCATATGTAGATAACTAGATCAATAAGTTTCCTTGTCCCCAGCTTGCAAGCTCATGATCATGTCGCGAAGGCGCAGTTTTAGCTCTCTTCTCTTTGTTCTTTCACTTTTCTACTTGGTCTGTACAGTTTATGCTTCTCCTTCTCTTCATCCAGATGAAGGTTTAGTGGTTTTGATGCATAATATATATGTCGGCATACAAAAAGTTGTCCTTGTGAATTTGAGCTTAAACTTGATTTTGTTTTGAGATGTTTATCTTTGCCAGTGGAAGCGCTTAAGGATATCGCAACGACACTTGGTGTTAAGCACCTGAATCTAAGTGAAGATCCATGTCTCACAAAGACTCTGGTGATAACTCAAGATGTCCTCAAGGAAGGACAAAACAGCACAATCAGATGTGACTGTGGTTTCAACAACAACAACACTTGTCATATCACACACTTGTAACAAACTAGCCGTTTCTTTCATTTTTTTCTTTTTGTTTCAAGCTCCATATATATAATATAAGTAATGTTTCTTCATGTGCAGTATCCTTAAGACATTCAGTCTTCCAGGTAGACTTCCACCAGAATTTTCCAAACTTCGGTATCTTGAGTTGATGTGAGGAGGGTTATTTGTGTTCATTTCAGTTTCCTCTGTTTTCAATGCTCTTGTTGACAAAACATTATAAAAGCTGGAAACTACTTTCTTGTTTGTGCAGTGACTTATGCCGTAACTACCTTTCTGGCTCAATTCCAATGAAATGGGCCTCACTGCCTAACCTAAAATCTATGTAAGGCTTTATTCTCAAGCTTCTTTGTTAAGGAAGTAAGAAATGCTTCTGAAAATGTTTCTTTTCAGCTCTGTTTGCGGAAACCGCTTATCAGGAGACATTCCTAAAGGATTGGGGAAGTTTATTAACCTCACCCTTTTGTATGTTTCTCTACCAATATCTTTGTTGATATTATGAGACTACATAAACAGGTTTTTCGTTTGAAAAAACAAAACTAGTTTTTTTTTTCCATTTATTTGAATGATTTCAGAGGTCTTGAAGCCAATCAATTCTCTGGAACTATCCCTAAGGAACTAGGGAACCTGATCAACCTTGATGGATTGTAAGCAAGAATCTGTTAATCAAGATTCAAGATTTAGTGGTCTCTCAAAGATGATAAACTAATATTGCTTTTGCTTTCCTGATTCTTGCAGAGCACTCTCTTCTAAGTTCTAACCAATTAGTTGGAGGGGTACCCAAGACATTAGCAAGACTTAAGAATCTGACTAATCTGTAATATCACCTTTGTTTACATTACAAGGTGGAAGTGTTTCTGAATATAATTATTATGTATGACACAACCATTCCATTCTACTGTTTTCAGCCGTTTCAGCGATAATCTTCTTAATGGATCAATCCCTGAGTTTATTGGGAACTTAACAAAACTCCAAAGATTGTAAGCCAAGAGATTCTGCATTAACAATATCTTGAAGCATTACAATTATTTTATTTTCTGACTTATGTCTGTCTTTAATCAGAGAGCTCTACGCGAGTGGCCTAACCAAACCTATTCCAGACTCCATTTTTCGTCTAGAGAATTTGATCGACCTGTAATTAATCATCTCTCATTACATCCAAAGAAATAAGATTATTGGACATGGCATTAGCATACTCCATTTCTTGAATCTGAACTGTAGTCATTTCTTTCTACTGCAGGAGGATCAGTGACACAACTGCTGGATTGGGACAATTTCCTCATATCACTAGCCAGAACCTGAAATTTCTGTATGCAGTGTCTCTGATCCAGACAAGATCCTGTGATGTATCAAATATGTGTTTAAGACTCAATAATAATACTGTTTAATATTTTCAGGGTTCTCAGGAACATGAACTTAACAGGACCAATCCCAACCACTATATGGGATCTTCCCAATCTCATGACTCTGTAAGTTTCATTCATATATGCTTATATCACTCTGAATGTTTTCAAAACACCATCCAATCTTATGAATATGATTCTTACTGTTTCAGAGATCTTTCCTTTAATAGACTGACAGGAGAAATACCAGCAGATGCATCAGCACCAAAATATACGTATGTCCAGTGTGAGAAATGATCAGAGTAATTTATAGTAATTAAGAAGTTAAGTTCTTGAACATGTTTTTCCAGATATTTGGCTGGAAATATGTTGTCAGGAAAAGTTGAATCAGGACCTTTCCTTACTGCAAGCACCAATATGTATTGTGGCCAACATCACATTCTGGTTTTACTCATCTATGTCAAACAAAAAAAAACAATGCTAATCTCTTAACTTTCTGCAGTGATCTTTCTTATAACAACTTCACATGGTCTCCAAGCTGCAGAGAGAGGAAGTGTGTTCCTGGTATCCTAAGTACTTTTTTTTTTTTTTTTTAACTTTCTGTAAGCTTAAATAGTTTAATGTTTTGATGCAGGAATGTAAACACATATGAGAGCTCGCGTCCAAGAAACAGTCTGTAAGATTAAGGAAAACTTAGGACGAATCTTATCAATCAATAGTCACTGTGAATATTATTAACTCATTATTCTTGATCCAGAACCAGACTTCTTCCATGTTCTTCCATAGACACTTGTCAAAACTGTAAGTGAATTTTTACTTGGCTGTCTATTTTTTTTGCTTCCAGTTTCAAGTTCTTTAGATGATCTTGAAAGAAACTTCACTTAACCGCAGATAGTAGGTCGCTGCATATAAACTGCGGAGGACCTGATGTAACAATCGAAAACTCTCGAGGAAGGTTTCTATATGAGGGTGATAACTATGAACTAACAGGGTCAGCTACAAGCTATCATACGAGAAACTGGGGGTTCAGCAATACTGGTGACTTTATGGATGATGCAATAACAGAAGATACATACACAGTTTCATCAGAACCTGCAGTATCAGCAAAATATCCTGAGCTTTATCAGACAGCTCGGCGTTCTCCTCTTAGTTTGGCTTACTTTGCGTTTTGTTTTGAAAATGGAAGCTACAATGTGAAGCTCCATTTTTGCAGAGATTCAGTTCTCAGATGAGGAACCATACAGCAGACTAGCAAGAAGGGTTTTTAACATCTATGTTCAGGTACATATAGATAGATTTAAGAACCCTCTCTCAGCGTCTTTGGCCACTTCTTGAAGTCTAAAACTTTGTTGTCTTGTTCAGGAAAAGTTGGTTTGTGAGGACTTCAGCATCAGAGATGAGGCTAATGGAAGTTACAAGGAAGTTATAAGAGAAGTGAACACGACTGTGACTGATAACACTTTAGAGATAAGGTTGTACTGGGCGGGGAAAGGCACTACGATCATTCCAAAAAGAGGCAACTATGGCTCTCTTATCTCTGCAATATCAGTTTGTCCTAGTAAGTAAAAGTTGTACTATAGCATCAAGTTTTTCTTAAAAAGTTTCATCTTGATTCATTTTCTTGTTCTTGTTTTCTCAGGTTCTGAATCTGAATGTGGCGGTAAGAAGAAGAAATGCCAAGTCATTTTACCCTCTTTTAGCTACTTTTATGTATATAAATATGTATTAATCTATCTCTCATTTATTTTCTTCTGTCCATCTTCAATTCAGTTCCAGTGAAGATTCTTCCAGTCACAAAAGAACACAAACCAAGAACATATCCTCTCATTCTCGGCATTACAGCCTTAGTAATATCTCTTGCTTTCTTTATATTTGGCGTATTCTACTGGAAGAAATACGTTAGCAATGCAGATTCAGGAAAAAGAGGTAATATCTGTTAAACTTCTGTTGTTGAAACATTAAGAACTTAACCATGAACATTATGATAACAGGTTCCTTCAGTTTGAAACAACTAAAAGTTGCGACAGACGATTTTGATCCCTTAAACAAGATTGGAGAAGGGGGCTTTGGATCTGTTTATAAGGTAAAAAAAATGTGTTTTCAAGCTCTAGAAACAGAGGTGAGTATTATAATTAATGCCAGTAATTTGAGAATGTAGGGACGATTACCAGATGGAACATTGATTGCAGTAAAGAAGCTATCTTCAAAATCATGTCAAGGTAACAAAGAGTTTGTGAACGAGATCGGTATGATCGCTTGCCTTGAGCACCCGAATCTTGTAAAGCTTTATGGATGCTGTTGTGAGAATAATCAGCTTCTTCTTGTCTATGAGTACTTGGAGAACAATTGTCTTGCCGATGCTTTATTTGGTAAATGATTAGACCAAATCTTTTTTACTGCATTCTCTTGTGTCTTGAGATTTGACTGTTTTCTTGTAACTCTTGGGGTGTAGGAAGAAGTGCTCTGAAACTAGAATGGGGAACAAGACATAGAATATGTTTAGGAATAGCGAGAGGGCTTGCTTTTCTCCATGAAGACTCTGCTGTCAAGATCATTCACAGAGACATCAAAGGGACTAATGTGCAGCTAGACAAGGATCTGAACTCAAAGATCTCTGATTTCGGGTTGGCTAGGCTCCATGAAGACGAGAAGAGCCACATTACCACTAGAGTTGCAGGAACAATGTCAGTCTTTTACTAATAGTCAGTCACACACAGACATGAATCCATCATATGTTTTGAATGTCAAATCAGTCTTGTTTTGGTTGCAGAGGATATATGGCTCCTGAATATGCAATGAGGGGTCACCTAACGGAAAAGGCAGATGTTTACAGCTTCGGTGTGGTTGCAATGGAGATTGTTAGTGGGAAGACTAATTACACGCCAGATAACGAATGTTGCGTTGGACTTCTTGATTGGGTACTCAAACCAATGATCACTCATGTTCTCTCTCTCTCTCTCTGAAATGGAAAAGGTTCTTGATTTTATTTTATTTTTCAGGCGTTTGTGTTGCAAAGGAAAGGGGATTACTCATAGATTCTGGATCCGAAGCTGGAAGGAGTGTTTGACGTGATGGAGGCAGAGAGAATGATAAAGGTTTCACTTTTATGCTCCAGCAAGTCTCCGACATTAAGGCCAACCATGTCGGAAGTTGTGAAGATGCTTCAAGGGGAGAGTGAGATGGAACAGATAATCTCAGACCCTGGAGTGTATGGTGATGACTTGCGCTTCAAGCCATCTTCTTTGTCTTCTGATTATATCGTGTCGATCACGTCGTCCTCTGAATCTGCTTATGATCTGTAGCCTGTCAGTGCCGACTGCATTGGTTTTACTAGCTAGTGAGTGTAGCGTGAAGCCTCCGATTATCTCTAGGGTTCTCATCGTGGGCTAGATTTGGGCTTCAAAGAGAATTGTGAAACTAGGGATGACATCGCACGTGCGGTTTTCAAATTGTATCAGAAAATACTTCCTCTCTGTTTCATAATAAACTAGGTGGTTGGCATGCGCGGGCAAGAGATGTTTCAGAATTCAAATATTTTCAATTAATATTAGATTAACGCATTTTTTTTAATTACTTTTCATATTTTTGTAATTTGTTTATTTTTCAATGAAGTAATAGCTTAACATTTTGTTAATTTAATATGAACATATAAATTGTGAAAGCACAAAAATTAGTTAAATTTTTTAATAGTTTTTTTCTTCTCCTTCATATTCTTTTCCAGTGATTCCATCTTTTTTCTTTCTTCCATTTTTTTATTCGTTATCATCATCTTTTTTTCGGCTTTTTATTTTTCCAATTGTGGTTCTTCACTCGTTTTTTTGTGTCTTCATATCCTCCAACTTAATATTCTTCTTTTTCTTTCTAATTTTCTTTACATTCTTTTTCTTTTTTTTCTTCTTTTTCATTTCCCCCTCTTTTTATCTTTATCATCTTCGTCTTCTCTAACATCATCGTAGTCTAGCTTTTATTTATCTCTTATTTGTCTTTTTTCTCTTCACATTTCATTCTTTCTTCTTCTTTTTTCCTTTTTTCTCTTCGACTTTTCTTCTTCTTCTCGAAGTTTCTCATCTTCTTATCCACCGTCTTCTTTTATTCTATTTAATTTGTGTTGTTATCTTTTGATTATGAATTTGCTTTAATTGTTTTAGTTTTTTTTCTATTTGTGAGTGTATTTAAGAAGGGTATATATAAATTTATAATCAGTGATGTTTAATTTTGATATACTTCTTTAATAATTTAAATTTTTAAAAATTCACCAGAATCTAAACCCTACATCCATCAATATAAACCCTAAACCCAAACTCCACATTATAACCCCCTCCCCCTAATTAAGGAACCTACACTCTAAATTCAACTCCACATTATAACTCCCCCTCAACCGCACACATGAACTTCACATTACAAATTAGTTCTGAATTTGCTTATATTTTTATTTTATTTATAAAAATTATTTTTTGTAATGGTTGTTTTCTTCTCCCTTTTATTCTTCTCTAGTGTTCTCATCTTCTTCCTTTTTCTTCCATTTTTTATTTGATGTCATCATTATTTTTTTTTTCTGCTTCCTTTTCATTTTTCAAATTTTGTTCTTCAATCATTTCTTGTGTAAGAAAATTAAGGAACCTACACCCTAAATTCAACTCCACATTATAACTCCCCCTCAACCGCACACATGAACCTCATATTACAAATTAGTTCTGAATTTGCTTATATTATTATTTTATTGATAAAAGTTTTTTTTTGTAATGGTTGTTTTCTTCTCCCTTTTATTCTTCTCTAGTGTTCTCATCTTCTTCTTTTTTCTTCCATTTTTTATTCGATGTCATCATTTTTGTTTCTGCTTCTTTTTCATTTTCCAATTTTTGTTCTTCAATCGTTTCTTGTGTCCTCATATACTCCAGCTCACTATTCTTCTCATTTTTATTCTTCGCTAGTGATTCTATCTTCTTCTTTTTCTTACATTTTTTTGTTTGTTGTCATCATCTTTTTTTCTCCTTCTTCTTTTTCTTCCAGTTTTTGTTCTTCAATCAATTCTTGTATCTTCGTAGCTTCCAACTCACTATTCTTCATTATATTTCTAATTTTCTTTACATTCTATTTCCAGTTTTTCTTCTTCCTCATTCCCCCTCTCTTTCTATCTTTATCATCTTCATCTTCTCTGACATCATCTTATGATAGTTTTTTTTTATCTCTTCCTTGTCTTTTTTTTCCATCGTGTTCAAGTTTTCTTCTTCCTCTCGAAGTTTCCTATCTTCTTTTCCATTGTCTTCTTTTCTCTTACTCATGTTTTTCGTTCTTGTCTACGTTTTGTAATTCACTTATCAATTCATTCGATAGTCTAAATATTGTTAATTCACGAATTCAATTTATATTTGATTAATGCATTTCTTTTTAATTACTTTTCATATTTTTTTAATGTGTTTATTTTCCAAGAAAGTAATATTTTAACATTTTGTTATTTTGATATGAACTTATAAATTGTGAAAGCACAAAAAAATTTAGTTCAATTTAGTAATGGTTGTTTTCTTCTCCCTCTTATTCTTTTCCAGTGATCTCATCTTTTTTTTCTTCCAATTTTTTATTTGTTGTCATCATCTTTTTTTAATGGTTGTAATAATTATTTTCTTGTCCCTCTTAGTCTTCATTTACGATCTCATCTTCTTCTTTTTTTTTCCATTTTTTTATTCGTTATTATCATCTTATTTTCTTCTTCTCCCAATTTATGTTCTTCAATCTTTTCTTGTGTTTTCGTATCATCCAACTCACTGTTCTTCTTTTTCTTTCTAAGTTTCTTTACATTCTTTTTCCGATTTTTCTTCTTCCTCATCCCCTCTCTCTCTCTATCTTTATCATCTTCGTCTTCTCTAACATCATCTTATTCTAGTTTTTATTTATCTATTTGTTGTCCTTTTTCTCTTCACATTCCATTTTTTTTCATTTTTTTCCTCATGTTCGAGTTTTCTTCTTCTTCTTGAGGTTTTCCATCTTCTTTTTCACCGTCTTCTTATCTTTTACTTGTGTTTTTATTTGTTTTTATTTACGTCTTGTATTTCGCTTATCAATTCATTCAATAGTTTATATATATATTCAAGAATTCGTGAAATAATATTAGTTTTTAGATAGTCTAGATCTTTTAAAATCTATTTGTATTGTTATCTTTTAATTCTGGATTTGATTTTTTTTTTCATATTTTTATTTGTGAATGTAGTTTAGAACGGTATATATAAATTTATAATAAATGATTTTTAATTTTGAAATACTTTCATAATCACTAAACTTTTTTTAAATGCACTAAAAACTAAATCCTATACCCATCAATATAAACCCTAAACTCAAACCCCACATTATAACCCCCTTTCTAAACAACCATACACCCTAAATCCAAACCCCACATTATAACCCCCTTAAACAACTCTAATCCTAAATAACCCCCCCCTTAATTGTACACCTAAACCCCACACTACGAATTAGTTTTCGATTTTTTTTTTTTTTTTTGTAATGGTTTTTCTCTTATTCTTCCTTTGTGATTTCATCTTCTTCTTTTTTTTATTCATTGCCATCATCTTTTTTTTCCTTCTTCTTCTTCCTCTAATTTTTTCTTCAATCTTTTGTTGTATCTTCATATCCTCCAATTCACTATTCTTTTTTTTCTTCTAATTTTCTTTACATTATTTTTTTCCGGTTTTTCTTCTTCCTCACTCTCCCTCTTCTCTATCTTTATCATCGTCGTCTTTTCTGACATCATCTTATTCTAGTTTTTATTTATCTCTTCTTTGTCTTTTTCCTCTCAAATTCAATTTTTTCTTCTTTCATTTTTTTTCCTCATGATCGAGTTTTCCATTCTTCTTTTCTTTTACTCGTGTTCTTTTTGTTCTTCTCTACGTCATCTATTTCACTTATCAATTCATTCGATAGTTCAGATTTTCAAGGATTCGTGAAATAATATTTATCTTTATATAATCGGAGATCTTTCAAAAATATATTTCTTTTATTATATTTTGATTATAGATTTAATTTAATTGTTCAATTTTGTTTCTATTTGTAAAATTACTTTAGAATGGTAGCTCTGATTTATAATCAATGATTTTAAATTCTGATATAGATCCATGATAATTCAAAATTTTAAAAATACACCAAAAACTAAACCCTACACCCATCCATATACACCCTACACCCTAAACCCAAACACCACATTATAACTCTCCCCCCTAAACAAACGTACATTCTAAACCCAAACCCACATTTTCTTACACAATATACTCCAGCTCATTATTCATTCTTTTTCTTTCTAATTTTCTTTACAATCTATTTTCTATTTTCCTTCTTCCCCATTCCCACACTCTCTCTACCTTTATCATCTTCGTCTTCTTTAACATCATCTTATTATAGTTTTTATTTATCTCTTCTTAGTCTTTTTTTCTTCACATTCCATTTTTTCTTCTTTGATTTCTTTTTACTCGTGTTCAAGTTTTCTTCTTCCTCTCGAAGTTTCCGATATTATTTTCCAGTCTTATTTTCTCTTACTCATGTTTTTCGTTCTTGTCTACGTTTTGTATTTTATTTATCAATTCATTCAATAATCTATATTTTGTTAATTCACAAATTCAATATATATTAAATTAACACATTTTATTTTTAATTAATTTTCATATTTTTGTGATGTGTTTATTTTCCAAGGAAGTAATAGCTTAACATTTTCTTAATTTGATATGAACTTATAAATTGTGAAAGCACAAAAACAATTAGTTAAATTTTTCAATGGTTGTTTTTTCTCCCTTATTCTTTTCCAATGATCCCATTTTTTTTTCCTTCCGTTTTTATTCGTTGTCATCATATTTTTTTTGCTTATTCTTTTTCCAATTTTTGTTCTTCAGTCCTTTCTTGTGTCTTCATATCATCCTCCATCTTACTATTCTTCTTTTTCTTTCTAATTTTCTTTACATTCTTTTTCCGGTTTTTCTTCTTTCTCATTCCCCCCTCTCTATCTTTATCTTCTTCGTCTTCTCTGACATCATCTTATTCTAGTTTTTATTTATCTCTTATTTGTCTTCTTTCTCTTCTCATTTCATTCTTTCTTCTTTTTTTTTTCTTTTTCCTCTTTTCGAGTTTTCTTCTTCTTCTCGAAGTTTCTCATCTTCTTATCCACCGTCTTCTTTTATTCTACTCGTGTTTTTATTCCTTCTTGTCTACGTCTTATATTTCACTTATCAATTCATTTGATAGTTTAGATTTTCAAGGATTCATGAAATAGTTTTTATCTTTATATAGTCGAGATCTTTTAAAAATCATTTTAATTTGTGTTTTT